GGTGGGGTCCGCACAAGGGAGGAAGGTGTTAGAGACTTGGAGGCAGGGTGCAGGTCAGAGGGGCGGGGCCGAGCCGGGCTGGGGTGGGGGTCGGAGTGCTAGGGCAAGGAGTGGTGCTTCGGCCCTCCGGCTCACCTTGAGCAGCACGAAGAACTCGAAGACTCGGCGGAAGGCAGGCGGGAAGAGGCGCGAGTAGGTCACGGCCATCTTGAAGAAGAGCGCGTGGAAGAGGCGGTCGCGCACGTTAATGAGCGGGTTGGGGTTGGGGTTGAGATTGGGGGTGCGCGCCCCGCGAGGGGTCCCGGCCCCGCCGCCTCCGGCCGCCGCCCCCCCGGGCCCGGCCCCGCCGGCCGAGTTGGCAGGGCCGCTGCCCGGGGCGTTCCCGGGGCCGGGCGGGGGCGGCGGCAGGTTCTCCGACATCCTCCGCTGGGCCGCCGAGGCGCTAACAGGCCGGGGCTCCCGGAGGCGGCGGCCCAGCCGCCATTGGGCCCCTCCCGGGCCGCAGCGCTCCCGCCGGGTGCTCGCCCTCGCTCTCACCCCTGCCCCGCGCTCCGGCCGCTGCCGCTTCTCCTCCTCCGGCCGCGCCGCCGCCTCCTCACGGGCACCTACAGGCCACCATTCACCGCCTCCGCCGCTGCGACCGCGGCCCTGCTGCTGAGACGGCTCCGCCCGCGGGGAATCCTGGGACGCTGGAGGAACGGCCCCGCCTTCCAATCGGCCCCTGCGCACTTCCCTCCTTTCCCCTCTGCTGCCCTCCCCTTGGGTCCCGGCCGCCTAGGCGGGACCAAGCCAAAGCTTCTTTTGCATACTCTCTCCCATGAGACACCGCGCCATAAGCCTCGACTCGAAATTTTGCAAATACAACAGCATTTTTAATGCAACGCGAATAAAGTGGGAAAATTGTACTTTGTAGTTGTACATTGAGTTATTCTGAAAATGGCTTCGTTTTGGGAAGAAGTCAATCATAGTCGTCTTAAATATAAAATGGCTCGGTTACTCGGCTTTAAATACTCCAAGTTAGGAGCTCAGAATCGTGCTCGCTTCGGCAGCACATATACTAAAATTGGAACGATACAGAGAAGATTAGCATGGCCCCTGCGCAAGGATGACACGCAAATTCGTGAAGCGTTCCATATTTTGCTCCACCAATTTTACACATATAGCCTGGTAGACGAATGGGATTTTAGAGCTAAAAAGTGACTTAAATGGAAGTCATCTATTCCAAACTCTTCTTTTTATATGCTATATATATATATGTATATATACAAAATATACACATACACACACACAGAGACCGGGAACAGTCAGCCTATGATAAGTGAAGGAGAAATGCAGCGACCACTGGATCTTGCCCACAGCTTCCAGATGAAGGTGGGAGGAGAATCTCTATCTTCCAGATGGCCACCCTCTTTTATTGTATTACAGAGACAGGGTGAGTGTAGTGAGACAAGCACAGGGCAAGGAAGGAAGGAAAAAAAAAAAAAACACCCTGGAATCGAAGTAAAGTAGTGGACTTGAAACCCAGCTCAACATTTACTAGTTGTGTGTCTGAGGGCAAGTTACTGAACATCTCCCCAGCCTCAATTTCCTCATCTGTCAAATGGGGATAAAGTGCTTGCCTCAAAGGGATATTGCAAACATGCAGTTCAATACATTTATTAGTGGCCTACTGTGTGTTGGACCTGAGGGAGGGAGCTGGATGCAACCACATGGCTAAGCATTTATTAAGCACCCACTACGTGCCAGGTGCTGGGATTGTTGTTATTGTTCAGTTGTTTGAGTTCATCGGAACCCAGTGGAGTTCTTCCATGGGGTTTTCTTGGCAAAGATTCTGGAGTGGTTTGCCATTTCCTTCTCCAGTGGCAAACAGAGGTTAAGCGAATTGCCCAGGGTCACACAGCTAGGAAATTTCTGAAGGTGGATTTGGACTCCTCTTCCTGACTCCAAACCCAGCAATCCACTGCACTGCCTAGCTGCCGCAAGGTGCTGGGATTACAAAAAAATACCTGATTTCTTTGATATATATGGAGCTCTAGGATCAGGAAACTCCTTCTACCAATACAGGTCAGCACTTTCTCGTTTCTAATCTAGAGAGCTGAGAGCTAAGTGACTTGCCAAGGGTCATAGAGCCAACATGTGTTCCAGAAGCAGGACTTGAGACCCACTCTAGAATCATTGTTATACTCTCTTATTGAAGATAATAGTAGTTAGTCTAATGTTACATTGCCCCTTGATGTTGGCAAAAGAGCTTTATAAATATTACCCTGTCCACAACCTCAGGGAAGTAGATGTTATATTATCCCCATTTGACAGATGAGGAAACTGAGGCAGACAGAGATTAAGTGACTTGCCCAAGGTCACACAGTTGACATCTGAAGCTGGATCTGAGTGGAGAAGTTGCTGATTCCAGGACCAGTAATCTATTAACTGCTAGAGCTGGCTGCTTAAATACAAAATCATTTGGCTGGATCAAGACATTAGAAGCTGGGGAAGGTAAGGAAAGGATACGGTGTTTCTACAAGGCCCAGACCCTTGCCCTCATAGAGTTCCCAAACTCTTAAGAATGAAATGAGAAAATTTGAACCTTAAAGCCATGGGCGATGTTACAATTGCTTTCTATGTCCTGTGCCTCTGCCTTCTTCCAAAGCATCATCTCAAAATAGGCTAACTCTAGGTTGTCAACAGACTTTTGAATGCAGGCCAGACTGAACCCGTCTCTAACCTGGGAATGGCCAGAACAGAACACAGCAGGCTAGAGACAGGTGTGTCAGACACAAAGTAGCGATATGATTTATTTCAGAGTAAGGAAATGATGTATTCAAGGAAGCCCCCCTCCTGAGAAGGGGGACTTAATAGTTTGGGGTATAGGCAATGCTTATATACCCAAGTGGGCTGGACTATGACATAATCATTTTTAGGTCTTGAGCCACTGTTCCTGTGGGAACAGTATTGTCCCAAGTGTTGGGGGTCATGATTACTGTGTGGGGTACAGAACCAGAATTCTGTGACTGGAACAGGAGTGCAGTACAAGGAACAGGGATTGTGAGCATGTCAGAGATGTGATGGATATTGGCTCTCAGGTCCCTGGGAAATAGAGGCAGTGAACACCTAGTACAATACACTTTGCCAGAGGGTGAAGGATTATTGTTATGCCAAGCTCAGGGCACAGCCCACTTGCTGGGCCTTAGCTCTGGGAAACAGGATATCTCCAACATATTTTGACAAGGTCCTCCAAGGCCAAAACCTGAAATCTGATCAATGGCCCTTTATGTCAATCCCCTGAAGACCAGCCTAGCTAACTTCTGAGAGGCCCTTCACCAGACTGTCATGACAGTGAGGAGTACCCTAGCTAACTCCTGACAACCAACTGGTAAAGAGGCTGTCCCAGTGGGATCTGGAAAGCATAGTGGATTTAGGAATGGAAGGTCTGGGTTCACAACCTTCACTGCCACTTACAAGCTCTCTGGTTTTGGGAAAGTCACCTTAACCTCCCTGGACCTCAGTTTCCTTATCTATAAAATGAAGGCTTGGACTAGATGGTCTCTGCTGAGGTCCATTTCAGCTCTAAATTCTATGAGCTCATGGATCACTGAAGTGATGCTGCCAGCCAGACACTGAAGGGAGAAGAGGTCCGTGGACATTTTGCCAACCAACCACACACTAGAAGGCTCCAGACTGCTCAGGGAGAAGAAATTGACCCAGGAGGAAACTAGGCTGGGGGCAAGCCTGGGGTTCTCTAAGAGGTGATTCTTCCTGGGCCCTCTCCCATAAGACACCAAGAGCATTTCAAGCCAGAAAGGACCTTTACAAAACCAGTCCAATTCTCTCACTTTGCGAGGAATGGGGGACATAAGCTTTTATGGCCTCAACAAGGATTAAGCCAGCTGACTGTGTTTCCAGTGCCATCTTGAGGCTACTCCAAGCCTCAGGGTAATTTGCATGACCCTAGGAATTAAGCCTCTGGATGAGGGTGAAAGAGGAGAGTGGAAAAGCTGTCTTGCAGTTTAACATGAAAAAAAAAACAAACCTACGATCTTGGCAACTGGTCCCATCACTTCGCCACAAATGGGGCAGAAGAAATGTATGAAGAGTCAGATTTTATAATCTTGGGCTTCAAAGATCACTGCGGATGGCGACTGCAGCCATGAATTGACCCTTGTTCCTTGGAACGACAGCTGATCAGCATACCAAAAAGCAGAGACATTACTCTGCCGATGGAGGTCCATATAGTCAAAGCTTTGGTTTTCCCAGTAGCGATGTGTGACTGAACTATGCACAGAACGCTGAGTGCCGCAGAATCGGCGCTTTCAGATTGTGGTGCTGGAGACTTCTCAGACTCCCTTGGACAGCAAAGAGATCAAATCAGTCAATACTTAGAGAAATTAATTCAGGCGATTCACTGGAAGGTCAAATACTGAAGTTGAAGCTCAAATACTCTGGCCATATAATGAGAAGACGGGACTTGATGGAAAAGAGTCTGACTTTGGGAAAGATTGAAGGTGAAAGGAAAAGGGGATGGCAGAAGATGAGAGGGATGGATAGGCGTCGGCATGGGAACAACCAACATGAACGTGGGCAGACTTGAAGAGATAGTGGAGGATAGAAGGACCGTGGCAATGGTCCAGGGGATCATGAAGGGTAGGATACGACTGAACAGCAATGACAACAAAAGAGAAGAAGAGGGGGAAGAAGGACTGAAAGAATGGCAAGTAGAAAGCAATGAGAGTGTTTTTCCAGGAGATAAAGGATTAAGCGAGAGGTATTGGTCAGGTAGGGGTCACCCTGCCTATACTCCAGGGCAAGGAAGGGGTGAATGGAATTCAGTTGTCCTGATTCTGCTAGGAATGAGGGCTGGGGACTTTCAGTTGAATAGGCCAAGTTAGAAGCCTTCACAACCAGTCTGGGGAGGGTTGCAAGTCTAACAGAGGGATGTGTTAACTAGCCCAGAAGCCTATTTGCCCTAGCTAGCTCAGACTTACAACACTTTTCTGGAGAAGTGGAGGCAGGTAGAAGGCATAGTAGTAGGATAGAGGTGTTGGCGGTGGTGGTGAGGAGCCCCTTGGGGCTCCAGTAAGAACTGAAGGGAGTGACGGTTGAGAAACAACTCATCTGGAGGATTTCCTGCTCATATGGATTGGGCAGGTCTCTCTCCACCTGGAATCTGCCTTACTCTTCCCAGATCTCTGCTTGTCCAAATCTTCCCTGTCTTTCCAGGCTCTGCTGATGTGGCATTGCCTCCAGGAAGCCTTCCCTGATCCGCCAGCCAGGAAGGATTTTGCCTTTATAACTTTGCATCTGCTCCTCTCCCATCCTGCTATTTCATATAGTTATTTTTGTCCTCATTTTATGCTCCCTCAGCCCAGAAACTACCTGAGAGCAGGAACGCATCCCTCTTCCTGGATTTACTCCACACCTAAGGCCCCACATGTAGGAGG